GGTTTATGCGGGGCTTAACATGCAGCTCGCAGGTGGGATTCTTTGAACATGGCCTCAACTGGGAACATGCTCCACAATGGTGTCTCCCACGTGAGTGAGCAATGAAAGACACAAGCGGACGGGCTAGCTGGAACAGACGGGTACAGGATGTCAGCATTTTTAGCCCCTAGGGAGGAGGTGCTGGGAGTGCCCAGGCATTGTGGGAAGTGCTTTGTATTCATGCCCCTCAGTGTGAAAGAAGCTATTTGCATATATATGCAACCACACTTAAGTTGCAGCTCTCAGTATGCGCTGTGAGTATCATTGTGCCCCACCGCCCCCACCCCACGGCTTCCAAAGTTAAGTAGCCCTGTAATACAATCTCAGACATTTTATTTTAAAACTAGTTTTAATTTTGTCAAGTCATTGCAATGAAATAAAATCATTGGCATGTAGATTGCTTAATTACACAGCTTATTAGGGAAAATAGAAATATCCCGAAAAAAAAGTTAGTTACCTTTCCCTATCCTGCATTTTCCAACAAATTATCAGAGGCATTTCTTAAAATAAACATTCTACAAGGAACAAAGTATATGATTAACTCAGAACACATAGTGGATTATTTCATAGAGTAATAAAACTTCAGCATCCCAATAATTTTAAAAGTGTGATTTTTTTTCTGAAAAAGTCAAGCTATGTTTTCTGGATCAACCTCCATTAGTAGCAAAAGATATATACAGGCCAAGTGCAGCCTTTGGCAAGCCTATTGCTTTTATTAAGGAATTCACAGCTGCAGCTAACGGCTACATAGACAGCCCTACAAATATAATTTAGCCACTCATTCTATTAACGCATTAAGTAGAATAGAGCTCCCTGTAAGGTATTGTTTCTACAGGTGTGACCAGAGTAAGAAAAGATACAAAACACTTATTTCTCACACCAAAGTGAGCAAATATGACTGAATAAGGAGCAAGTTGCAGACACACTTTTAGAATGTTACCATTTTCACAAACATTTTTCAGAGCAAAAATATAACCATATCCAATTCTGCAACTGGATCTTCATGGGCTAGCTCTCAGACTCTACATGAATACAGAAATACGCATTCAAACACACTCAGAATTAGACCCAAATATGCATAAACAATGGAAAACACACCTTTTATTCATTAACATATGGCGGTCTCAAAACAATTCAAATATACCCTGATCAATAATTCACTTCCACATTTTAAAAAGTGCTGCGCTCTTATGGCTGTCAGAGAGAAAACAAATGTTTCAAGTTCTTCAGAAACTCAACTAGGGTCAAATGGGCTACGACAGGCCGTGCCAACGGGGAGTGGGGGTAAAATCGGTTTTATTAGGGTTGTGAAGGGGGTGACGTTCCTTTATTACAAGGAAGCCAGAGGAGTTGGGTGCGATGATAAAAAGGAGGGGGGGGGAGAAGGGGAGAGGGGACTGGTTAGTCTATAAAGTAAAGCCACTCACCTGATTAATGACCTGAAAATAAAGCAGAAAAGAGACAATTGTAACACCAGTTCTGCCCCCTCCATTTACAGCCACCAAGCCCCCGTGCCCTATCATCATCCCCTCCCCATCGTCCCCACCCAGTCATTGTCTCCTCCTCCATCGCCTCCTCTCCCACCCCCTCCCCCCGCCACT